CCTCAAGTTTTAATAAAGGCCCTGCTTATAATAATTCGCTTCGTTGTTTTCTAAAGGTCCACTTCATTCTGATCTAATTTAAGTAAAAGTATTTTGAGAAAATGACGCCGCCGCGGTCGAATATAAGGGCTTTCACCTATCGTGGCTTCAAAAAAGCTAGACTATGTGACCAAACATTTAAAGTCTGATTTTCAATGCAACACTGTTTCCAATTGAGGTAGTGAAGTGTGGTTTGAGCCGTCTCGTCTCAGTTGGCTGCGACAAATTATTGGAGTGCAGCGTCAAAGGAGGAGGACAGAAATGTTTGGTACACGTACTTTATAAATTTTCAACAGATTTCCTGAAGAAATACGATTTCGACGGGCTCGACCTGGACTGGGAGTACCCTGGTGCCATCGACCGCGGTGGCTCCTCCTCCGACAAAGACAACTTCCTGTGCCTGGTGCGAGAGCTGAGGAGGGCCTTCATCAGAGCCGGGAAAGGCTGGGAGTTGACTGCTGCCGTGCCACTTTCGAGCTCCAGACTGAACGAGGGATACCACGTGCCGGAGCTTTGCCAGTAATTATTTTATAAAGAATTCTTCGAATTTTAATAACTTTTGTGCGGCTTCGGCTATGTGATTTCTTGAAAAAATGTAGGTAATAAAAAAAACAGTTGGGTGACTCATTTTTAGGATTTGATAACATAAGATGACTTTTTTCACATGGATATACAATTTATTGTTTTAAACTTTCATGATCACTAATATTATAGTAATTTATATTTTTTACAGGATTGCTACCATGTACCTCGTTTTTAGCGAGTTTCCGATATTTCGGCACTGTTGCAAGCGCTATAATTACTCCGTACCTGGTACATGGGTACCTACCAATCCCGTAAATAACTTATATTACTATAATGGATATACAATGTCCAACAGTCTCTCCTTTTCATTCCTTTTGCCGGTTAATTTTGCCATTAATTTTGCCGGTTTATATAGCCGTATAAACAGCTTCATATGTTTTTTTTCTTAAATCCATTATATTTTTTGGCTCAACTACAATTCTTTCTAATTCAAACTTTCCGCCCTCAGGGAACTGGATGCGGTCCACGTGATGTCGTACGATTTGCGTGGCAACAGCGACGGTTTCGCCGATGTACACTCTCCCTTATACAGACGCCCTCATGACAAAGGGGCCTACAAGAAACTGAATGTTGTGAGTTCATTTGTACCATAACATCTTAGATAGATAGATAGATAAACACTTTATTACTCACACATACACAATTAAAGGGTTTACAAAACAGATAGTCAACTATGGTGGGTAAAGGCGGTCTTATCGCTGAAAGCGATCTCTTCCAGACAACCTTTAAGTCGAAGGATAGTTTAACGGAGATAGAAGAGTAATGTGCCAGCAAAATATAAAACAAAATAAAATAGAAATAACATTATATATATTATATAAAATACATACAAATAATAACACCTACATACATATATATATATATATATATATATACATATACATAAACAATAATATGCTATGCTTATAGGTACTGATACAAACATAACATAATATTAATAGAATAATATATACACATACACTAAGTTATATGTTGCAAACTAGGACCTTGATAAAAGATGTTCATGAAGCTTGTTCTTGAAAGTTGCAAGTGATGCCGAGTGACGGACTTCTGATGGAAGGTTATTCCATAAGATTGCAGCCTTGACAGTGAACGAATCCCCAAAGTATCCAGATCGAGTAAATGGAGTCCTTAGTAAATTGTCTGTCCTGGACCTAAGGTTGAGAACGTGATCGGTACTTAGAAATCGGAAACGTTCCTTAAGGTAGGGAGGAGAGCGAGGATCATACAGAACGTTGTACAGAAGAGTGAGAACATGCTCTTCACGTCGTAGTCGGATGGGTAGCCACTTCAATTTATTCCTGTATTCGGACACATGATCAAACTTGCGCAATCCATAAATAAATCTAATGCAAAAGTTCTGAAGACGCTCGAGCTTGTTTAACAGATCTTCATTAAGGTCAATAGTACAGATATCAGCGTAATCCAGAATAGGCAAAAGAAGTGACTGCGCAAGTTGGATCTTGGTCCCCACAGGCAGCAAGTTCCTCCATCTCCGCAGTGAACCGGCAGCAGCGAACATCTTTCTGCTGACTTCAGTAATGTGAGGCGACCACGATAAGACAGAATCAAAAATTACACCCAAGTTTTTGACATTAGCACAAAGGGTCAAAGGGGTACAAGAAAATAGAAGAGGAGGAATAATACTAGAATTGAGCCTGGCTATCTGCTTCGATCCGCCAAGAATGATCGCCTGAGACTTCTGAGGATTCACTGTCAAGCCATGGGCACTACTCCATTCGTGAATGGTCTCAAGGTCGGCGTTTAGCTTAGCAATCATTCCGTCTAAGTTATCAATAGAGGCTTGTGAATAAATCTGCAGGTCGTCAGCATATAAATGATAATGACAAGAGAGGAGAGGGGTCAAAAAATTAATAAAGAAGGAGAAAAGAAATGGGGAGAGGACTCCGCCCTGGGGTACACCGGCTGTGAGTTGACAGCAGGCAGACAGTTTGTCGTCAACACGGACACATTGGGATCGTCCGATTAAATAACTCCGAAACCACTCGACAACGTTATCGGAAACAAAAGCAGATTTTAACATTGCCAGAAGGATATCGAAATCAACAGAATTAAATGCGTTAGTGAAATCTAATAAAACTAAGGTTGTAAGCTGTTGATTAGACATTCCCTCTCGCACATCATCAGACATCTTAGTTAAGGCAGTAACGGTGCTGTGTCCCGGACGAAAGCCAGACTGGAAAGGACAAAGGATATTATTAAAGTTAGCAAATACGCTAACCTGGTGGAATACAAGACGTTCCAAGACTTTTGACAGGAAAGGAAGAATAGAAATAGGTCTGAAATGAGAAGGTTGGGTAGGATTTGAAGATTTAGGAATAGGGATGACAACAGCCTTGCGCCAGCAGCTCGGAAAAATTCCTGTGGTGAGTGAAAAGTTAAATATATGGCAGAGAATGGAAACGCAAGAGGGCATGCAAAGGAGAATCATACGTCGGCCTATACCATCTAAGCCCTCAGCGTTAGATTTAACAGCACGTATATTCTTTTCAATCTCACTCTCAGACACAGGCCTAAAAGAAAAGGGAGGATATGCAAATTTAGGAATACGTGAGAGGGAGTGGAGTTTAACGTTATGAGGGATAGGAGAATTGAGCGTGAAGTGGCGGTTCAGGGAGTCAGGATCCAGATTGAGAGGTAAACTCGATCTAGACTTGCCAATGCCAAGTGAGCCCAGGAATGACCATACTTTCGCTGGGTTACCATTAGCAACAGAGTCATGTATATGGCGACGCTGTGCGTCTCTGCACATTCGACTACAGCGATTCCGTAGCTCTCTGTACCGTGAACGGGTAACATCAGATGGATCATTTCTGAACTTCACTTTGGCAACGTTACGTCTGATCATTAAGGCCTTGATTTCCGCAGTAAGCCAGGGAGCCGGAAGGTGTTTGAGACGTATAGGACGAAGAGGAGCATGAACATCGAATAGTTGAATGAGTAAAGAATTAAAGATTTCAAGCTTTTGGTCGATAGAAGGAGCTTCAAATACTGCATCCCAATCGATGCCGTTAAGGTCCGACATAAAGCGCTTTTCATCAATATTCCCAAAAGCACGCTGCATAATCACTCGTGGCTTAGGTTTAGGACAGCGGACTTTATAAGAAAGGAAGATGAGGTCATGGTAGGAGAAAGCTTCTGCAGATAGTTGTCCGTGGGAGCTGACAAGGTCAGTTGAGGAAACAATGGCCAGGTCCAACAGAGACGGGCGGCAATCGGGAAAGTGGTGAGTAGGAGATAAGGGAAGTAAATTTAGATTAAGCGAATCCACAATTGAATGCAAACGATAAGAGCGAGCATCGTGTTTGATGAGGCAGGTGTTAAAATCCCCCATAATGATAGTATGATGAACCATAGGAACCAGATTCTCCAAGAGAGTCTCAAATTTGGCAAAATAATCAATATGGAGGTTAGGGCTATAAAAAACTCCAAGAAGAACCTTGAGGTGGCCAAGGAGAACCTCAACAAACAGATGCTCAGATGATTCGGAGTACAAAGAGGGAGATTTATCCAAAATATTGAAGGAAAAGTGGTTTCGAAGATAAATAGCAACACCACCGCCACCCTTACCGGTCCTGTCATTGCGAATGAGATGAAATCCGGGTAGAGAATATGAAGAGGAAGGGAGAGAGGGTTTAAGGAAAGTTTCCGAAACCAGAACAGCATGCAAGTTAGGGTCATTTGAGAATGTAGCCAACAAATCAGTATAGTGCGCCGGGATACTTTGGGCGTTAATGTGAACTGCATTAAAATTTTTGCGAAAAGGAGAGAATTCAGACTCTAGGCGCTCGTTCAAGGGCAAAGATGCACTATGGAAACTAGAATTAGGGGATGAGATGGAGAGAAAATTAGAGCTATCACTGACAGATTCTTCATCAACATCACTGAAAATATTTTGCAACATTAAAAATATAAATATATATAGTGAAAAAGAAAATAATAATAATAATAAGTAATAATAATAATAATAAGTAATAGTTATAATACACAGTCAGGTCTTAAGTATTGTCACACAGTAAAAACTTTTCTTTTCTTGAATTCGAATTTCGAATTGTTCATGAAAATAAAAATGTACACTTTTTAGAATTTTACTCATTTTTAAATATGGAGTGGACACTTAAAGAAGACCGTGTTGCAGTTCAAATTTTTGATATACTGAAAAATATGAATATAACTGTGGCATGAATGCATCCTATTAAAGTTATGACTATTGTGAATGTTTCCATTAGACATTTTGCTAGGATACTCTATGATTGTGACAGGTATTAATATTAGGACTTCTACAAATAAAACCCTCTTGTTTGGTTATTTAATTTGACTCTTTATTTAATACCACATGGCGCAGTCGGTAAATTATGGCTAGTTCGTACAATTTGCCAGCAGGACTATCCCTGTCGGGGAATTTAAGTGTAAATTGGCGGAAATTTTCACAAGCATTGGAAATTTATCTCGAGGCAAGTGGTTTACAAAATGTCGGCGAATCAAGAAAAATTGCCATTTTACTCAACATAATCGGTGAAGAGGCTCTAGCCGTTTATAATACTTTTGAATTCGAGGATAAAACGTTAACCTTAAAACATGTTCTTGACAAGTTTGAAGATTATTGTAATCCGAAGAAAAATGTTCTACACTGTCGATTTAAATTCTATAACAGAAAACAGCAAGAAGCTGAACAATTTGAACATTTTCTTACAGACAAAAATGTTAGCAAATGATTGTGAATTTTGTACTAATTGTAAAGAAAAAATTATTCGAGACAGGCTAGTTTTCGGTACAACTGACACAGATTCGCAAAATCAACTTATAAAAAAAGGCGACCCTAACTTGGACGATGTTGTTAGAATGCTAATAATAACAGGATTGAGTGAAGATCACATTCGTGACATCAGAAAGTCTGAAGTAAACACTGTTTCTACAAACTTTAAAGAAACACAGAATAAAAGACAAAAGCAATCTTGTCTCAGATGTGGATATGAGCATAAATATGGTCAGTGCCCAGCTTTTAACAAGACGTGTGCAAAATGTCAAGGTAAAAATCATTTCGCAAAAATGTGTCGAAGCAACTTAAAGAAAACTGTAAATGAACTAAAAGTAGATCCTGAACCAGATTATTTTTGTGGTGCAATTCTGTCTAGAACTCTGAAGACTCATTCAGTAGGATGGTATCAAGACCTCATTATAGGAAATGAAAAAATCAATTTTAAACTTGATCCAGGATCAGATGTTAATATTATTCCAATCAAACTCTTTAAGCAAATAGCAGCAAGCTCGTCTTTTCCTTTGCAGTTAAACAAAAGTTCAGCTGTGCTAGAGAGCTGGAATGGGTATAAAACACCTATTGAAGGTACTATTAGACTAACCACAAATTTAAATGAAGGAAAATTTTAAGAACTTTTTTGTATTGTCGGTGGAGACTTGTCAGTGCCCATTTTATCCCGGGACACTTGTGTCAAATTAAATTTAGTAAAAAGAGTGGAATCATGTGAAAAGACATATGACTTTGAAAAAGAAATGTTGATAAAAAATAACAAGGATTTATTCACTGGCATTGGTAAGATTGAAAAACCATATGATTTAAAATTAAAAAAGAACTCTGTTCCATCTTCGAAAACCCCATATAGAGTGCCATTAAAAATTAGGCCTCAGTTAAAAGCTGAACTAGATAGATTAACAAACTTGGGTATAATTTCAAAAGTTGATGAACCCTCAGATTGGGTAAATAGGCTAGTAATAGTTGAAAAACCAAATGGTACTATTCATTTATGCTTAGACCCTAAAGATTTAAATAAATGTGTAGTAAAGGATTATCGTTCAATCCCAACTGTTTCGGAATTGTCAGTTAAAATTCAGAAAGCTAAATATTTTTCGGTATTAAACCTAAAAGATTCATTTTTTCACATAGTACTAACAGAAAACAGTTCTAAATATTGCACATTTTCTAGTATATTTGGCACATACAAATTTAATAGATTACCTTTTCGTATAGCCGTAGCATCTGAAGTATTTCAAAAATATTTATCTGAATTTTTTTCCGATATTGAAGGGGTTATAAATTACATAGACGATACACTTATCTTTGCAAGTACTGAGGAGGAAATGAATTTGATTTTAGATAAAGTTTTTTCACAAGCTAGAAAATTTTAATGAAACTAAGTTTCAGTACATGCTTCGGAAAGTGAAATATTTAGGTCACATTTTTGAAAATGGAACTGTAAGCCCTGACCCAGATAGTATTAAGGCAATTTTAGATTATGATACACCTAAAAATAAACAAGATATTCAAAGACTTTTGGGCTTAGTGAATTATCTGAGATCTTTTATTCCAAACTTATCTGAATTAACTGCTCCCCTACGTGAATAAATAAAAAAAGATATTCACTTTGATTGGCAAAAGGCCCATACAGAATGTTTTAATACAATTAAATTAATTCTGACTACTCATCCTGTACTACACATGTTTGATCCAAATAAAAACATAATTATTCAGACAGATGCTAGTAAAACAGGCATTGGATGTGTATTGTTACAGGAAAATAAGCCAGTATATTATGCTTCTAAATCACTCTCTTCAGCTGAAATTAACTATGGACAAATCGAGAAGGAATTCTTGGCAATATTGTTTGCATGTAAAAAATTTCACACTTTTGTGTATGGTAAGACTATTACAGTACAGACTGATCACCTTCCTTTAATATCTATCATGAAAAAAGATATAGCTAACATTCCCTCAACAAGATTACAAAGAATTAAACTGAAACTCAGTATGTATGACTTAAATTTAGTTCATGTATCTGGAAAAAATATGTACATTGCTGTTGCGTGAAGCCGTGCTTCTTCTGGAGCTAGTATAGATGTTGAGCCAGACTTAAATAATGTAATACATTCAATTAATGTGTCTGACAGCATACTCTCCCAAATTAGAATAGATAACTTTAAAGGTGATGTATTTACTAAACTTCTTGAATATGTAAAAAATGGGTGGCCAACATCCATCACAAAAGTACCAGATCTAGTTAAACATTATTATAACTTTAAGAATGTCATGTATATTGAAAATAATATATTATATATTGATAACAGGCTCTATGTACCTAGATCTATAAGATAAATTATACTAAAAAAAGTTCATGAATGTCATTTTGGGATCACCAAGACTAGAGCTAGAGCTAAATTATTGTTTTATTGGGTTGGGATGGATGTTGACATTAGTAATTATATAGAAAGTTGCATGGTATGTAAGAAATTTTCTAATAACAATATTAAAGAACCTATGTGGATTAGGGACCAACCTGAACTGCCATTTCAACAAGTTTCTGTTGACATTATGCAATATGGAAATCATGACTATTTAGTTCTAGTAGACCATTATTCGAAATGGTTGGAGCTCCATAAGTTAAACAGCAAAACTGCAGATTCAACAATAAAGATTTTAAAGATCATATTTTCAACACATGGAATTCTTAAGATCTTATATTGTGATAATATGCCCTTTAACTCATCAACTTTTCTAGAATTTAGCAGACAATGGCATTTCAAACCAATATTCTCCAGTCCTCATTATCACCAAAGCAATGGGGCTGCAGAGAAAGCTGTTGGAATATGTAAAAACTTAATTAAGAAATGTAATGAAACTAATTCTGACTTGTCAAACTTCATATTGGAATATAGGAATACTCCAGTTTGTGGAACAAAATTTTCTCCGTCACAGTTACTTTTTAATAGACTTTGCCGCACAAGACTACCAATACAAAAAGATTTACTCAAGTCAGAATTGGTTCCTAATTTCAAACCACAATTGTTAAATAATGCATATAGACATAAGTACTATTATGATGTTAACTCTAAAACTAGAAGTGATAAATTTGTTGCAGGTCAAAAAGTCTATTATAAGGAGGATGAAAGGTCTAAAATCTGGAAATCTGCCAAAATTGTAAAGGTTTTGAACAACCCTCGTTCTGTACAAATAATTGATAATAATGGAGTCCTAAAAACTAGAAATACTAAATTTATTAAAACAAGCATGGAAAAAGAAGTAGATTCTAGCTATCCAAGTAATAATGATTGTGTTCAGAATTATTGGAGTAGTTCCTGTCAGATCAATATTAATGACAGCGATCAAAACCTTCAACAGTGTAACTCTCAATCTCAACCCTTAATTAGACGGTCTAATAGGGAAACCCGTCCTCCTCCTTATCTCAACAATTATGTCTTTGATTAATAATACTGAGCTCTGAATTACCTAATCATTCATATGGTATTTAAATTATTATAAAAGGGAGATGTGGCATGAATGCATCCTATTAAAGTTATGACTATTGTGAATGTTTCCATTAGACATTTTGCTAGGATACTCTATGATTGTGACAGGTATTAATATTAGGACTTCTAGAAATAAAACCCTCTTGTTTGGTTATTTAATTTGACTCTTTATTTAATACCACACAAAAGATTCATATATCGTACCATCAAACGATACAATGAAGACTCTAGTGTAGATGACAGGTCAAGAAGTGGTCGCCCTCGGTCTGTTAGGACTCCAGCAGTGATAAAAGCTGTGAATTCAAAGAAATCCCAAACGTAAGCCGAAACTGTTGGCCCTTCAGATGGGGTTAAGCAGAACCAAGGTGAAAAGGGTGTTAAATGATAACTCAGGGCTTCAGGCATATCGAAGAAAAACAGGACATCGTTTGAATGCTCGTCTAATGGACCTGAGACTGAAGAGATGCCGCGCGTTGAAGCGGTACGGGGGAAAAAAATATCGGATTTTTTTTTTTCGGATGAAAAAAATTTTACCGTAGAAGAGAGCTACAACAAACAAAATGATAAGGTGTACGCACACAGTAGTAAAGAAGCGAGCAACCGTATTCCGCGTGTCCAACGAGGCCATTTTCCATCCTCGCTCATGGTATGGTTGGGAGTTTCTTATTGGGGCTTAGCAGAGGTACATTTTTGTGAGAAAGGTGTAAAAACGAATGCAGTTGTGTATCAAAATACAGTCCTGACGAACCTTGTGGAAGCTGTTTCTCATACCATGTTCAATAACAGGCACTGGGGATTCCAACAAGATTCGGCGCCAGCTCATAGAGCGAAGAGCACACTAGACTGGCTTTCGGCGCGTGAAATCGACTTCATCAGGCACGAAGACTGACCCTCCTCCAGTCCAGATTTGAGTCCGTTAGATTACAAGATATGGCAACACTTGGAGGAAAAGGCGTGCTCAAAGCCTCATCGCAATTTGGAGTCACTCAAGACATCCTTGATTAGGGCAGCCGCCGATATTGGCATGGACCATGGACCTCGTTCGTGCTGCGATAGACGACTGGCCGCGCAGATTGCAGGCCTGTATTCACAATCACGGAGGTCATTTTGAATAAATTTTATTGTCATAAGAATCTATGTTTTGTAAAGTTCATTTTGGTATATAAATGGTTACATAATGAATAAACTTGTTTCAATTATTTTATATTAAACATGTGACAGAATTTATGACCTGATTAGGTACATTTAATGGTGAGAACAACGTAACGTCTGTGGCCGAATACCGGATTAAAGTTCAATTGTAATTTTGTTATAATTAGGGGCACGGTACCCCAAGCACGAACCAATATCGAATTCGTATCGTTTGCGAGTCCGAAATGTCATTGTCAAATGTATACTGATTTTTAGTTCTCGTTACGTACTTTGTGCCGCTGCTGTTCAAGTTTCCATACAAAATTTGGCATTGACATTTCCGTTTGCAAACTATTCGAATTCGATATTGGTTCGTGCTAAGGGTACAGATCTAGGAGTGCGTATTGTGTGCGTAAGCGAAGTGACCAATGTCAGGGGAAACTTAGAATATTGCAATCAATTATCTTGTTTCAGAACGACGGTCTCAAGTTATGGGAAGACAAAGGCTGCCCTACCAACAAGCTAGTCGTCGGCATACCTTTCTACGGGCGCACTTTCACCCTGTGTGCCGGTAACCATAACTACGAACTCGGGACTCCCATCAACAAGACGGCCGGTGGCGGTAACCCCGGTCCTTATACCAATGAGACTGGATTCATGGCTTATTACGAGGTAAGAAAAATAATCTGTCCTGTAAGAATTTTTTAAGTATCTCTGTCTGTTTCCTCAACATGCTTTAACCACTGAACCGATAATTAGGTATCTTATAGGTATTTTATTTCAAGAAGAATCAATCATAAATTTGTATAATAAGTTCACCACGATATCATTTATAATATAAAACAATCTTTTATATTATATATATGTTTCGTCGCTGCCGGAAACCGACTACCACTTTTCCGTAACTGAACCATCTCCTTTGTTATGTATTTTAAAGCAGCTAGTCATGGATATAAATGATAATTAACGAATTAATTGAATCCTGAAAATCTTAAGTTGCGTTTCCACCTAATGTTCATAATTTCCGAGTGAGCAAACATTTGTTCGCTCGGTAAATGGAATGCTCAGAATAATGTTACCTTGTTTCCAATTATGACTGAGTAACTCTCTTACTCAGTCATATTAACATTCGTTTCCTAAGATCAGTCAAACATCATTGTACGAATCTCTGATATTTTCATTTACCGAGAGAGGATATGTTTGCCCGTTCAGATCTGTTATGAGCTTAAGTAGAAACGCAGCTTTACATATGGAAATGTCTGCATTATTATGTTTCGACAGATCTGCATGAAGGTGGACAATCCGGAGTTCGGTTGTATCAAGAAATGGGACAAGTACGGCAAATGCCCGTACGCTTACAAAGAAGACACCGAATGGGTTGGGTACGAGGACCCTCGCAGTGTGGAAATCAAGATGAACTGGATTAAGGAAAAGGGCTACCTGGGCGCCATGACATGGGCCATTGATTTGGACGACTTCCATGGTCTTTGTGGGGAGAAGAACCCGCTGTTGAAACTGCTCCATAAGCACATGAGCTCATATTGTGTTCCGCCAGCTAGGAACATTTGTATATTGCAGTAAAAATACGTTCGTCTTATACAATGGTTCATTGAAGAAGGAAGGATGACACCATACAAAATTATAATTAAAACAGTTGTGGATACCTTCATAATAAAAAATTTTCATTGTTGACAAAAAACATTCTTATTACTTAGTATTAAGGTTTACAGTAATTTATAACACCTATTAGACATACATTACACCCTGCCACTTATTCTTTGATACACAAACCAAATAATAATAATAATGAAGTACCGTTAGTGAGGGTTACTTTAGCCCGGACGGGTAACTTTGTCCCAAATCAGAAAAAATATTGAACTTGCCGCCCCATCAGTATCTCTTGGCTGACCGTAATAGTTCCAGTTGAAAATCACAGATAGCCATATAGGCGCGTAGTGTGGTGTTGTTTTACCGACATCGTTCCTGTATCAAGTTGTCACTGTAACGCGGGATTTTTTGTAACTGAAATAGTTCGCAAGTTCATGCGCAAACTTTCTCAAAACTGTGGTTTCGGTAAGGTTACTATTTTTTCTAAATTTAAAGTTATATTTTTTATTTAACTTAATTATTTTTGGGCAAAAACATCCATTTGTGTATTCAGTATGCTAATGGTGATCTGTTATAAGCGTTACTTAACCCCAATATGGCTTAAAATGAGTTTTTTCACAGAGAAAACTCAACGAGCTAAAGTAACCCTCTTTAAGGCCAACTTTGGCCCAAAATAAAAAAATAAATATGGTTAATATTTTTTTTTCCTATTTTCGTATGATAACTTTGAAACTTATACTTTAAAGTTCACAATGGAAAGATATAAACGTGACATATTCATCACAGAGAAAAGCTACAATTTTTTTTTGAAAAAAAAGTGCACATTTTAGGTCAAAGTAACCCGCAGTTACTCGGTACAAAAGAAAATATAATGACAACTATATTATATAACATCCTAAAAAAACAAATTAATTCAATAAAACACGGGGTTACCGAATCTTTCCACCGGTTTTCTGACCCGTATACATATGTCCGGATCGTCTACTGCAGGCGCGGCGGCTGGCGCGCCAGAGCTATCAGTTGACTCCGAACTGGGGCACGAAAGAATTGAAATCTACAATCTCCTTCGTATCTGATCTATGTGCCTCTTAATAAGTTGACCGTTTTCCCGAGCTACACTATAACTACGGGAACCTATTTTTTTTTCCATTTTACCCTTAGACCTTTTATCATCCCCCGTGCCAAAATCTCTAACCCATACCTCCTCTCCTACTTCAAAACTACTAACGAGACCCCCCGAGATTTTTTATCTGATTTTCCGGCGCTTTTTGTGCGTTGGTTGATCTAATCTAGATCGTAAATTCCTATGTTGCTACAACATAGCTGGTGTTTGACCCGTAGAACTAACTATAAACCGTGTTTCGATATACAAAAAGATAAGACTGCAGCGCTGTGTCAAAATATTTTTTTTCATGTAAAGCTTTCTTTAGAGCTTTTTTGCAGAGCTTTACCGCGTTTTCAGCCGCCACGTTCAATGACGGATGGTACACAGGAGTGAAGGTGTGGTTTATACCATTATGTACCATAAAATTACTTATTTCTTTGCTAGTGAATGGGGGTCTGATATCAGACACTATTTCTTTCGGGAGACCGAACCGAGAAAATATTTCCGTTAAAACTTTAATTACGTCCCTGGCTGTCTGATGAGACATTCTATATGCCTCAATCTATTTTCTTGTCGAATCCACCGCTACAAAAAAAGTATACCCGTTAGAAGGCCCCCAAAAAGTCTATGTGCAGTCTACTCCAGGGCTCGGAGAGATCCCCCCCCCCTTGTAGTTCTGTCCTGCAAAGAGGGGGGCGGCGGAAGGAGCTGCAAGGGCACGCCCAAGTAGCCCTCCGCAGCGGACGGGGGGCGGTACGGTGGGCACTAGGCCGCGTACTCAGCCCCCACGCGCGGGCATACCTGCGCACGTCTGCGGGGTCCCCGCGATACCCCGGGAGACCCCTGCCGTGGAGCCCCGGCTAGGCCGGGAGGCTGCTAGGTGCGAAGACGCTGAAGAATCCCTAAACGGGGATCCCGCGGCTTCGCGCTAAGCAGCTTAGAGGGTATCCGCAGGGTTTTTTAGAGTATATTATGCCGTAAAGCGCCCGTAAGAGTTACGAGGTCCTCAGTGGGTAGCCACTGCTGGGGCTTGTAAAGCTTGCGGGAGCCAGGTGTGAGGTCCGTTCGGCGGTGTGCTTCTAAAAGGCGCCGTCCTCTGTCAACAGTATTTTTTGCCTGCGTATAAAAAAAACGGGCTCGGAGAGATAAGGCCACGGGCTTGTGGACACGTGCGGCGGAGAAGGAGCCTCAAGCGCACACACTACACACTCTCGGCAAGTTCGCTCCATATCCGCGTCTATCCCGGGCCACCAAACGTAACTACGAGCTATGCTTTTCATCTTTACTATACCCATGTGTCCCGTGTGCTTTCAAATACAATTATGCAGCTCAGATGTTACCATCCGATATCCCCACATGATATATCCCGAGTCTAAATATAATTAATTTCGCCTAGAAAAATAAGGTTCTATGTCTGATGCTGGACATTTATCTGGCCACCCTGAACGTAAAAACATACTAATTCCCGTTAAAGTTTTATCATCTTTAACTTTTTTACAAGCTAAATCTTTTGATATTGGTAAAAAATCCTGAACAAAATTCACATATGTTATTACTTCGCTTTCTACACAACTATTTTCAACAGGTAGCCTAGGTAATGCATCCGCGCTCAATGGAGTATGTACCGACCGAGAGAAGAGGAGCTCGATGGCGCAGGTGGTTAGCGCGTTTGGCTGCGATCGTTGAATTTAAAGAACTTTCACAGTGGTCGGTCATTGGATGGGTGACCAAAAATCTATCTCGGGTTCCTCTGTGCTTCGGAAGGCACGTTAAGCCGTTGGTCGCGGCTGCATCTGCAGTCGATAGCACCCACTAATCCGCACTGGGCCCGCGTGGTGGGTCATGGCCCATCCATAGGGAAGGCCTGTGCCCCAGCAGTGGGGACATTAATAGGCCGATGATGATGATGACATACTCAATATTAAATTGATATCTTGATAAAATAACCGCCTATCTCTGGTACCTGCTGGCCACCATGGTAGGTATACCTGCCTTTTCACCAAAAATACTGACGAGCGGTTTGTGATCAGTATTTAACAAAAAATGCCGGCCGTACAAATATTGATGAAACTTTGTGACACCGAATATGATAGCCAATGCTTTCCTTTGTATCTGTGAGTAGTTTACTTCAGCCGCATTAAGCGTTCGCGATGCATAAGCGACAGGTCTTTCGCGGCCATCGCGCATCCTGTGGGATATGACCGCCCCCACTCCGCGTGCACTCGCGTCCGTCGTCAAATAATTGGCAATCCTGGGTCATAATGCGCTAGCACCTCGCTCGAAACTAACAACTGCTTGACCTTCGTAAAAGCCTCTGAACACTGATCCGTCCAAACAAACTTAGAATCTTTCCGTAACAACTTATATAAAGGAGATAACAGCATGCTTATATTTTTTACAAATTTAGCGTAGTACATTACCAAACCTAAAAATGAACACAATTCCAATTTCCCTACTGACATTATGCACTATTTTAAATTTTCGCCATTCGTAAATCGTCGCCAATAAACTATTTGTGAATTGCAGTAAAAATACGTTCGTCTTGTGCAATGGTTTATTGAAGAAGGAAGGATGACACCATACAAAATTATAATAAAAACAGTTGTGGATACCTTCATAATAAAATATTAGTATTATTGACAAAACACATTCTTTACTTACTTTACTTAGTATTAAGGTTTAAAGTAATTTATAACACCTATAAGACATACATTACAAGTACGTATGAATAGTACATTCTAAACAAAAAAAAAATAGGTTACGTCCAAGTATCACAATATGTTAGATGTATCTTTTTGGCGAGATCTGGAAGCGTCACTTTAGCAGTTTTGTTTTTCTTGTTAAAAATTGTGTTGTGGCGGATATTAGTGTCTAATAATGGTGGATTATTAACCACTAAGTGTTCGGGAACATGCACAAGTGTTGGCAAGTGAACAAAATAGCGGAAAGTGTCTTTCGGCGTTCCCTCAAGAAGTCCACGGGGAGGTTCCAGTATATCCCCACACATTTACTGAAACATAGGGAAAGGGGGATTGACTTGACTGACACTTACTTTGACTTGATTTATTACTTTGACCACGAGTGCTTTATTATTTGTAAATATTTTAACACTTGACATTGGCTAAATGCACAAAACATGCGAAGCCATTCAGAAAAAAAAACTTAGATGTAAGCGATAGGCTGGCAACCTGTCATTATATTTCCAGAGAAAATCAACCTAATCAATACCAATGTATTGCTGTTAAAATGAAGCTATGTGAATGATGTTACTTTTTACTCGCAAGTTAAACATTCGAAAGATCATTTAATGAAATACTTTTTGGCACGTATAAAATGTCCGTCTTGTTACCATTACATGATCTGAAACGTCAAGAATATTTAGAGGAATGAAATCGTGCTTTATATCCGATAAAAAGTCTAATTAAATGATTAAAAAAATATTTCTCATTAGATTTAGAAATCTAGGTCAACGTGATAAGGTTAAAAATCAACTAAAACACTTTTATGGTTTAAAATAAGTTTATCTAATAGCTGAGCTCGAAACATCAATTAACGGAAGTTTGATTTGAATTGGTGCTGTTGTTTTCTCTAGGAATACACACAGTAGAGAAAAAGAGACTTGATATAATAATAATAATAAATATTTCCAACACTCACACCAATTAGCGTAGCCCCAAAGTAAGCACTATAAGGCTTGTGTTATGAGATACTAGGGTAACGGATATAATACGTATACTGTGCATATATAAGTAATATTTGCATAGAAATACATATTAAACAACCATGACTGCAGTACAAATGCTCGTATTCATCACACAAACACCTGCCCCCACCGGGATTCGAACCAGGGACCTCTCGAGTCGGCGAC